AAGCTCTGATGCTCCAATCGAAGGAAGCTCTGATGCTCCAATCGAAGGAAGCTCTGATGCTCTAATCGAAGAACCTTTAGGGATGCCAATCGAAGGATCATGTTGCAAGGACAATTGAAAGGCTTTGCTGAAATGCCAATCGAAGGGCATTTTGGAGATGCCAATCGAAGGGAACTTAAAAACATTTACTCACAAATTTTCCTTTTCCTTAGGCAAGGGTTTGTGACCAACCATGTAGGGGAAGACCTTGGAAAACATGAGAGGGAAAATTTTGGGATACAACACTCAGCATTGTCCCTCCGTAGGTGTTTTACTTTATTTAACAAGAGTTAAGTATCAAAAAGAAAAGACAAACATTAATGAGTGAATACGAATGGATTAATTCAAGACAAACATATTCAATGAATTATGATTAATATTCAAATATAAGTGAATTTTGCATACAAGAAAGTAATGAACCAAAGCAAAGAAAGATTACAAATGAGAATTGTAAATGAAAATCGAAATTGCCATGTTGAGTAGACTAGTCTCTGTATGGACTTGTTGCTTCAGATGATGATCTGACAGTCTTGACATTTACTGAGTTAAAGGAGACTTCAAATCTGACTTGCTGGCCCGAAATGGATAGCCTTTGCATCAAGCAGGTCTTGCACATTTTCTTTGAAAGCTATGAAATCTTGAACGGAATGACCTAGTGCCCCAGCGTGTAATCACATTACATATTAGGATTGAAATCCATAGGATAATGAGGAATGACAGGCTTCAGTGGCTTGGGTTCCACCAAGGAAAGCTTGAGAAACTTAGAGAACAACTGGCCATAAGTCATGGGAACAATGTCGAACACCCTATTTGGCTTCCTATCCCTTTGCTTACCTTGTTGCATACGTCTCTGTTGATAGGTTTGCTGCTGAGTAGCATACCAAACTGGATGAACATGAGGAACATTCTGATTTTGATTAACCAACTGATTTCCACAACTTGCGAACGGCTACCAGTGAGAACTATATGAGAGTATAGGTTGTGGATGATGTGATTTAGGTCGTGAGATTAAACTTGCATCCTCAAACTTTCGGGAGTGAAGAGAATTATCCATGCATCAAGCAAATCCTAGACTTGGTGCTTAAAAGCTATGCAACCTTCAGTATCATGACCAGGTGCCCCAGAATGGAATTCACACCTAGCATTATTGTCAAAGCCACGCGAGATCCTTTCGTGCGTAGTGAAGATTCAGATCTTAACCAAATGAAATCCTAGCAGGCGAGGAAGAAATTGTGCATACGACATTGGAATAGGATGAAATTGTCGTTCAGGCTGTTTTGGCCTCTGCTGACGGACTTTTCCCTTTGGGTCCTTTTGGGAAATGACAATTGGTTGTGGATGGGAAGATCCTGGAATGCAAGGCTGTAGAAGAGATACTCCTTGACTTGAAAGAGTCTCTAGATTATGGGGAGGAATGGTAACTCCTATTGTAACAGGTATAGAACCATCTTCTTTCTTCAATAATGTCCCCAAAATTTCCATAACTAAACTCTATTGAGCCTTCAACTGAGTGTTATCTTCCTTCAAGAGTTCTTGTCCACTGACCAAATCCTGCATATCTAGCATCAAAAACCCCAATTTGTTTTTTCATCTCATCCAATTCCCCACGAAGTTGTTCCATAACTTGAATCTGATCACGGAGTAGTGAGAAGTCAATATTTGCAGTTCTGAAAAGAAAATACCGAGTCTGAATAAGGATTCCCCATTCTAAGTACCTTCTGAGTACCTGCTATGGATGCATGCTATGGATGCATGAAGATGCATGAGGTGAATGAGCGGATGCAATGCCATGTTCAAACTTTTTTTTTGCATACAATCTTTCACATTTCTTTTTTTTGTGTGTAAAATAAACATGCTATGATGCAAGGTGCGATAATATAGGTTAAAAAGTTCAGCATAGCAACTGTAAAACCCTCTGGGTAACTGCTGTATAAATCTGCTGCATAGTCTGAATATCACAGGGTCAAAGGTTCGGCACCATTTCAAGAATATAATGGAACCAAGTACCATGAATAACCGTCATATAATCTCTGGCCAAGTTGAATATATCAATATCAAAGGTCCAGAACATAACCAAATAACCATAGTCACCGACAGAGCACAACGGTCACCATCAGAACATAGTCACCACCTGTACATGTAATAATCAAGTCCCTCCCTACTCGCGGGTAAAGACTAGGTCAGGGTAAGGCAGGGGTAACTCAAAATTACGAGTCCGCCTGAAAGTACTACCGCCTTACCCACATATGTGGGTGTCGATAGTAATCCATTTGAACCTCATCCGAGTGTGGTATATGACATGACTGCACTAATCGGACAATATCCTATAGCCTTCATGCCCCCACTCTATCCTAGTGTCCTAGTGCACTCTGGCCTGGGTACTGGGCCTTTTATCTCAATAGTAACGCCCACCCAACATGGAAAACCAGAATCCAGCACAACAGATAACCAATATAGAAAGCAATAGAATCCAATGCAAACATATGCTCAGATAAACATGTACAAATGAATATACTGAAAGCATCAAACATAAAAACCCAAAGATAAGAAAACAAGAGTTAGTATCGACTCTAGGATGGACCAGCAATTGGTCAATCTGTCCCCAGTGAAGTCACCAGCTGAAACAACCGACTGAACAATCAACTGATAATGAAATCAATAAAGTCGTCGTCGAACATTTTTTATCCCATAGGAAGGGAAAGGTAAACATCTAGTAAACCTGAGAATGGTGAAATTAAGGTCGAACGACCAAGAGATACGGGTAAGGGAGTCTGTTACGCGAGGGGAAGGTATTAGCATCCCGCACGCCCGTAGTACTCTACGGTATCCACTCTTGTTTTCTATCTTATGGGTGTGTTTCAAATCTAAATCTAAGTTGTATAGAGAATGCATGCAAAAGAAAGGAGAAAATAATGTAGGCAAAAATAAGGTTATGCTCGTTTGGGCCCTACCCCAATGCCTACGTATCCCTTTTAAGGAATCAGAGCAGCCGTAGTTCGGCTTCAAAAGTTTTTGTTGGTTTGTATTTTTTAATGAACAATATTAATTTCGCCTTCTGCCGCAACTCGACCTTTGGAGACTTACACGTCAGCACATAAGTGAATTAACGTGTTCTTTTGAAAATTTCTTGAAAGAAAAGCCCAAAGGCAAAAAAGTTTATATTTGTTGGTGTTTTTGCTTGTAGATAATGGCTAGTTAATCTCAAGAGAGAGATATTAGCCATTTCTCTACTTATTCATGAAATAAGTCTTTGAGACTTGAACCATACAAAAACTTAGAATATGAGAACAACAGGATTGAGAAGAAACCCGCTTATCATCTCTCATACTTAACAAAGATATGATTCTCATCAATAATTTTTAAGTGTTTTGAAGTTTGCAAGAAAAAGAAGTTTTTGTTTTAATGCAAGGATGCAAAAGAAAGAAAAACATATAAGGGAGACTAGCCTAAATATATCCCTAATGTTATCATACAATGATGGTCCTATGGTTGAGCTTTTAAGGTAAATATCTACCCTATATCGACATGCTTGGATTACAATCCTAATGTCTATCTCAACTCATCATCTATAGATGAATCAAGAAGTCCTAAAGGAGCATAGAAAGGGTCTATCACCTAAAACTATGTTTATCTCGAATCATCATCTATAGTTGAATCGAGAGCTCCTAAGGGAACATGCCGAGGGTATATCATCTCAAAACATGCACACAAAGATGAAATCAAACAAACAAGCCAATAAACTCAAGAGAGCACACCTAGAGAGATCCTATCTAGGCTAGCATACCAATGAAAGTCTAACAAAACTATCCTACGGGGAACATGCAATGGGAGCGAAGTTGTGATCTCAATTTCTAAATTGAGTGACTCATCGATCAACAAGAAATCAAGGAAAGCGATAAAACCCTATAGGGAGCATGCACTGAGAGCGAAGTCGTGATCTCAATTTCTAAATTGAGTGACTCATCGATCAATCCATTAAGGAAACAAACACAAGCACAACACATATAGTAAATGAAGTGCAGAATTCCTGCTACAGGTCTTTAAACAGCGACTTCGAGTGCATGCTCTTTATTTCCTACTTCTAATGATATCTAGAAAGCAGTAAAGTGCAAAATGAGATAAACAAGAGAAAATACCAAACGGATATCAATCCGTAGCAATGCGTATCAAAACAAAGATATCCGGAAAACTTCGAGTAAGCTAGCACCAATAACAAGATAGTCAGGAGAATATCCAATATGAATCTCATGCCATGGTGAAAATAAATAACAAGCAAGAGTAATGATCCGCGAGGAACCGTTTTCCAAAAAAACTTGCACAATCTCACCAGAAGTGTTAGCAAATAACAAGGCAACATGAGTTAAACTCAAACATCCAATTTACAACTCAATTCGATATTAAAATGCAAGCACGGAAATATCCTCAATTATTTACAAAATTAAACTCAAAAGATTAAGGAAACTAATAGTAAGAAACCTAATTAATTTCTAAAACTCAAAACAATTCTAAAGGATTAACATTCTACCAATTGTTTTATCATTTTATTATCTTTTGTTCTTAACTAATTCCTAACTTTATTCATAAAAGTTGAATAGAAAACTAAAAGAAAATTCAAATAGAAAGGGGGTGAGATTCTGGATTGAGCACTATGGTCCAATAATTAAACTCCAAAAGCCCAGTCAAATGAAAGGGTCCAGAAATGTTTTTTTATTCTTCAGGTTTAGGTTCAAAAAAATGAACATGGGCCTGAGGAAAATATTTTCAGCCCACCAAGTTGTTGATCCATCATCACCTTCAAAAACATTTTAGCCTGTAATAAAATAGTGATAAAATAAAATGGAACAAATTGTCAAAAAGATAAAGCATCAATTAAAGGATAGGGTAGAAGGAAAGTGACGTTCAACCTTCTTCGAGAACTCAACCATCTCTTCTCTCTTTGTGCCCTTATAAAGAAAACACACATGCCACCGAGATCCACCCTAGATGACGGTCGGAATCTCCTGTTCTTGACGTCAATCCCTTCATCTCTCACCCGAGAGCGTGAACCCTGTCACTAAAAATAAGGGAGAGGATCCAATATTTGAATTGAATCCCACGAGATATGAACCCTAGCCTTCTGATCTTAAATTAGACGGTGATGGAGGATGGCTTCGAGCAATCAACCATGGGGAAAATGTTCGTATGGCTCCAATCTGCACGGATGTGTCAAGAAGAGAATCATATACGTGGCGATGTTCGGGAACTCTGGTGAACACTCAGACTCAGGTATCGTAGCCTATTTATCTTCTTGTTTCTCTTCTTCTATATCCTTTCTACTTCTTTCTTTGTTTTTTTCTTGTGTGTTATGACGCTGTTGTCATTGAGATATGGTGTTAATGAAGAAGATGAATCACGAAGAAGGCGATGAAGCTGTGTTGAGAAGTTGAAGATGATTGAAACCCGTTGCGGATGGAAGTTGTTGTGTGACGGTTAATGGTGAAGAGAGTTGTTTGAAGGTTTTTGCAAAATTGATGAAGATTGGTCCTGTGATGAAAATGATGATTGTTGAAGCTACATGGAGATGCGCTGAAGATTTGCAATGGAGAATTGAAGAGTGCAGAGGGAGAAGAGAGATTGAAGATGAAGGTTGAATATGCTTGAAGCAGATATTTCAGAGAGTTTCTTGAGAGGTTTTCTTGGTGAGTCCTCTAGTTTTTTTGTGAGCAATTATCTGTGTGAATCTATTATGGTTTGTGAATAATCAAAATCCCCCTTGCTTATGTTTTCAGAATTATGTTATATAGCTGGAAAGTGAAGAAGTCAGTTAGAGGGAAGTGAAACAGGGCCATTGGATGAGAGGAATCAGTTAGAGAATCTGATGGTGGTGATTAATCAGTTAGAGGTTAGTTATAATTCTGTTTTCTGTTGGAGAGGAGGTTAGGGTGAGTTTTGATTTTTGTTAGGATTGAAAATTAGTTGAAAGTTAGTTACTAACTGTTTAAAGGTTGGTTAGAGGAAGTTTTGTTAAATTCTTAGTTCTGTTAAGATAGAAACTGTTAGTTAGTAGCAGTTAGTTATACAACTTATGCTATCAGCCAAGAGGAAATTGGTAGTTAGGATTAGTTATGAATATTTCTGTTATGACAGTTGTAGGGCTAAAAAAATTTGTTACATATGCTGGAATTTATAAACTCACCTTATGATTCTTTTTTTTTAGGTGTACATTGAGCTCACAATTGATTTTTATCTGGTGACTGTATAATGAGATGAAATTATATTGTTCTTGGTTATTGGATTTGCAGATTTTATTTTGGCTGAAGCATACTATCACAGCAGGTTGTTATAAAAGGAATGGGTGAGATGGATTTGATAGAGGTTAGCTACATATCTTTGAATTCAGTTATGGACAGTTTTGGTTCAGTTAGGAATTTAGTTATGGTTTGGAAAGTTAGTTGGTTCTGTTAAAGGTTAGAGCCGGTTGGTTTAATTCTAACTTTTCTGGTTTGGCTATTTCACAGTTCCTAATTCTCTGTTTTTGCGGTTTCCTGAATTAATTTCCAGACTTTCCTAATACAGGAACAGGTTTTTTCGATAATCGGCGCAGGCTGATTAACTAGTTTTCCTATTTTCAGGTTCATGTACTTCTGATATAGTTTTATCAAGACTGGTGCAAGGAGGTTTTGGTCTGGTACAAGGTCTCGCAGCAGGGTGATTCACTTGGGGCATGAAGATTGAATAATACATGAAGATGGAAAACTTTGGCATAGCGCGGACTTGAAATTTCACTCATGGAATTTTAGCACCTTTAGGATTTTAGGAATTTTGTTCAAGTGCATTTTTGTAACTGTTTTTCTTTTTGGATTTCTGGTATAATGGGATTGTAATGATTTTATAATGAATGGTGAAATTGGATGAACTTAAATATTATAGTGTGAACTATAAATGGCTTTGCGCTTGTAATTCACTTGAAACCAAGGTAATGAAATATGATCTTGAATACAAATGTAACTTTGGGAACTCTTGAATCAAACGACAAATTATCAAGGGTGTAAACTATTTCCTTTTCATTTGATTTTGAGTTTCCCGAGAATGAAGTGCTTTTCTTTCTTTTTTAGTTTGATATCCCAAGTCCTTCATTGACCTTGTTTTTGTGAAATCCTAATGTCTCTCATTCTATCAATTTGGATGAATTCCCTTGCTTGAATATCTTCAAATGAACGAATATAGGTTTCCTCAAATTAACTTGAATGAATCCATGCTTAGACGTCTGCATGTCCTTAATTCAAAACCCTAATCTTCCATACAAAGCTTTTAGATTTTGATCTCAAAGAATTGAAATGAAATTCGAAGAAAGTAGATTGTATCACAAGTAAGCCAAGTGACCAGATGAAGAGCTTTGCATCATAAGAAATACAAACCCTAATTCGTGAAGAAGTTCCAACTGAATCTTCTTCTCTAGAATAGAGCTTGTGCCCACATGACTTGAGATTCAAGAAATGATTTCCTTCTTATTTGCCAAAGATATATCAATTGAAACCCTGGTTATTCATGGACGAAATCCCTTGATGATAGCCTTTCCTTATAATCACAACTTCACAGAGAAACCTCTTTTAAATGGTACATGATTTAGAGAAATAAACCCTAATCAAAGGATGATGTTGAGCACAAGGAGATAATGAATGCCTGATTTAGTAGCCCTTAGGTGACCTCGTAGAATAACTTGAAAATGAACATGGGAATACGGAAAGAAATATGACCAAGATGTCCATGAATTAAAAACCTATTGAACCTTAGTTGATGAAATGCTGACAAGCACAAACTTGGTAGAGAAAAACTCTGACTCTTGTCTTGAATGCATCTGAATGAGTAATAGCCCCGTAGCTTAAAGAGAACGGAACCCTCCATAACCATAGGTTACAACCCTAATTCCACATTCCACTGCTTGAAGGATAACTAGAAGAATTAGGCTTTATTGAACATATACACCTTAGTCAGTTGTAAAAAACCCTAGCTTGCACGCCCACTGAACTCTTGAACTTCAGGTGCTTATTTTTTGAATGAAAATGCATGCTATGTTAGTAACCTAATGAAAAAATTTGAATGCGATGCTAAGCCTAAGCCAAATATAAGTGCAATTAGGAGGGCAAATTTTGGGGTGCAACAATACTTACGTACCAATTAAGGTTCAAAACCTTATAGTTTATGGTAAAAATAACAAAATGGTTTGTTGAGGTTAATTTTAGGAGAAAAAAAGATATTTCATCATCTTTTAGAGAGAAAGCTAAACTAATACCACCACAAGTATGAGAAGATGGATCTTGCATCATCATGAAGGAAGGGGTACTAAGTTGGATATAAGATCAACAAGTTGCCAACTAACGTCTTCATGTGGAAAGAATCATATTTACTTCAACAATTACTATGGGGATAGGAGAATCATATCTCAACTATGAAGAGGATTTATATATAATCTCTTTGAGAAAAGTTTTAAATTGAAAAGGCAAGTGGCAAAAAGATTTGAGTGAGGTTAAGTCACTTTTAGTCTTTTGAAATTATTTTGATAAGCTTAAGTATATTTAAAGCATTTTGAATAAAAATAAATTTGAAAATGCAATGACACGAAGTCAAGGTTTTTATATGAAAGTGGTGAAAGTTTGAAAATGATTTTTAGGGTTTAAATGGTTCTTAGAGTATAAGAAGATACATATGGTGATTATTCATAAAGGTTTTATACAAGGGGAACACACATGCTTATGACTATAAAGTCAACAATACACTTTGGATTAAAGGATTTTATGAAGGAAATACATCATTAGAGGGGAAGTGAACTTAAGGCACGTGGATAAACAATCAAGGGGATAAGTCATGCTTCATGGATTAGGGTTTTAGACAAGTTAAGATTAAACATCTAAAAATTCAAGTGCTAAACTTAATAAAATCAAATTCTTCATGGTCTAAATATACACAAGGGTCATGTTATCAAGAAACATTCATTAAAGACATGGGGTGGTCATCCAAAAATATTTTAATTGAGAAATCAACAAGGAACCAGTGAAAAAAGTCTTTTAAAACTACAAAAAGGGCTAATTTTGAATTAAATGAAAAAGGTTAAATAAATAATATTTTTGGGATTTTTTCTTATATTCATAAAATAGGGGTAATAAACTAAGAGTGTGCAAAAAATTGGGTTAAAAAGGATTAATTTGATTGGTGAAATGATTAAACGAAAATTACAAAAAGAGGTGAAAATATTGAAGAAAACAAGTTATAAAAAATAGGGGTGGGCAAATGTTTCATCCTATTATAAAACAACTACCATTAAATATATTATAAACTTGTTTTTTTTTTAAAATTATTTTCCTCTTCTTCTTCCTCACGCCAGACCCAACAACATCACCATTTTTAAATTTGTGAAACCTTCAATTCTCAACTATTTTAAAAACTGTAAACACCAAAGTTGCTTGAAATTTAATCATGACTTTAACCATACCAACTATTTTAACTAACACTCAAAGATGAACAAGAATTTAACTTAGTACCAAAACAAAACCCTAACATTTAAGAGACACAATCCGCATCACACAAGAAATATAAATGAGAAGTAAGCACATGGTTAGCTTCAGGACAATCATATCTACATTTTATCTTTTGAAAAATCAAACGCAGATGATGCATGTATATAGATATCATATTTTGAGAATTTTACCAAATTGGAGAAAGTCAAATGCTTCTTCTATGGCTTTTCAGTGTAAAGTGGTGATCCTATGAGCTTTCTAGGACCTCAAGGAACCTATTTCAATTCTTACTTTATGCTGAAAGTTGCTGAAATGCCCAGCCAAGTCAAGTTGCAATGGTGAAAAGGTGGAAATAGGGAGTGATGGTGGAGCGGTTACAGAAGTTGTTTTGGTGTTTGGATAACTTGTATATGATAATTATGATGTGTTGGATGGTTAACTAGGAAAGATATGGAAAGAGTTGGGAGTTTTGAAGAAATAGTGTTTTTGGAGCTTTAATGGAGTTTTTGAGCAATTTCAGAATTTGAGAGAGTATTAGGGTGTTTTGGAGTTGTCAGTTGGTTGTTTCTAAGTGTAGAAATGATCTTTATTTATAGGGAAACATTAGGGCTTGGAAATGCTCAGTTTGAAGCACAAAGTTTGTGAAACTTAATTGAGAAGAAATCTTGCAAATCCATGGTTTTAAGGTCAAGTACAAGGAAAGGCTGGTGAAGAGACATTGTTTCCTTGATTCATGGTGGACTGTGATTAAAAGAGAGAAGATGTATAGGCTCAAGACATGCTTTATACAAAAAGCTTACTTTTCAAGAATGGTATTGGTAACTTTCTTTCAAAAATGGAAAGTTATTTGGATAATGGCTAGTATCTCTTGGGTAAAGGCTTGAAAGCTTGTGTACTCTTCTGATATTGGATAGATTTAGAGGTATTATGGC